ATTTCTGCAAAAAGCATATCTTTTCAAGTTTTTTGCTCAGTGAAGTGCTGCTACTGAAGTAGCTGAACTATAGTATTGAAAGGTAAAAAGACATAGATTGGTTTTTCTTGTGCAAATTCATTTTCGTAAGTCCGCAAAGAAATTAAGAATATTTGTTGCTCTAAGGTGAGTTGTAGGATCTAATTATTAATTCCTTTTTACCTATCTCGTACCAGCTCTTTTCGTTGTTTTTGTCACATAATTATTTATATGCACGTTCTGACTTTTTGTGTTTGACCGGAAGAGGGAAAAGCGTTGGTTCTTGAGGATTAAGTAGTTAACTAGTGAGATTAATTTATCAAAATAAGTATATTCGTAATTTTGTTAATAATGATATTAATACTAAGTTAGTTGCAGAAGTGCTCACTACTTTTACTGCTAAATATTAGTGACAAAATTAGAAGTTACTTTCAGTTTTTGTTGGTACCACTTTTTTTTTTGGTTTAGCAGATAGCTGCAAAACAAAAACGAGTTTGCTATATTTTGACGTTGTTTCTTTTATAGATGCAATTAGAAATGATTGCTCAAATGGAGTTGGCTGAAGCGCAAGAAAAAGAAAGGGTAGCAAAAGGTTTCTTCTCCTAAATTTTTTAGTGGAAATTCCAGACTTATATTTTTTACTTTATTCCTACTTTTTCTTTCAGTTGATGTTGAGAACACCGAACATCGGCCAGATCACGCTGGTACTTCGCATGAAACCAATGAGGCATTGGAGGAAAGGCCTAAATTTTTTGTGGAGGGGAAGAAGAATCGCAAACGCCAGCAAGAGGAATTGTCCGACCAGCTGGATCGCCCGCCAACCCCTACCGAAGGCAGATTAATTAGATTCTTGTCTGGTATAAATTCATTAGCAAATATTATACTTGCATCATTCAACTTTTGCAGTTATCCAACAGCGTGAAATAGAATGGCGCGAGAGGCAAAGAAAACGGAAAGAGAAGCATAAACGGCGGAAAAATAATTCTGAATCTGAATATTGGAATAACGAAGGTCTTGATTATTATTATTATGTACCAGTTTGTTCACTCGAATTTCAGTTTTTTTCCACTTTTTGCGAGACTGTTTTGTACATTTTAAACGGGAATTAAAGTTGAAATGATCGGGCTCTTTATTTCAGTTATGGCAGAAAAAGAGTCTTATGTTCGGCTTACGAGCATCATTGATCAGATATTTGATAATGTGGAAAATTTAGACATTGTTAAAGGAGCTGACGGTGATAATTCGTTTTTTATTTTTTCAGCGTCTTGATAACTATTTGATTGGGTGGATTATAGTTTACAGTTGATTTACAAGAGAATAGCTAATCGGTTTTAACTTTTAATAATTCTATTGCAAATTTTTTTATTAATTTGCTATAGTTTCTTGTTTTTTTTAATTTTTTACCTTTTCAGAAGATGATGATGAAATCCCCCAAGAATTATTAATCGAAAAACACCAAGTGGAAGAGCTGCTTGGAGAAGTTCAGAAATTAAAGTCTTGGAATAAGATCAATAAAGTATTTTTTTTCTTCATATCTTTGTAAATTTTGCTTTTTAGAAGCCACTTTTTAGTTGTGGGATTTGCGTGAATTTAAGGTCATGCAGCGCTAAGTGATATTATACTTTTCGCTTTACATCTCAAATTTTTTCTTGTGTACCTAGTGGCAGAATTTTTTGCTCCTTTTGCAAAACTAAGATTATCTTTGGTGGCTGCTTTTTTTTCGAAATAGACGCCTCGTTAAAGTGAAGAAGTTTAATGTTTTTTTACCTAAAGGAATTAATTTCTGAAAATTTTGATTTATTTGATCTCTTCAGATGGTTTACTTTCAAACAACTGTATGTAGCTGTGTAACTCCAGTTTTGAAATCTAGGTTATAAAGGGTCGCTTTGTTAGTTCTTCTTCAGGGAAAGACAGGGCAACCTTTTTCTTTTTTTGTGAATTTGCACCGCAGATGATTGGTAACAATAAAATTTTGTGTATTACTTTCATTCTTGGAATTCTTAACTATTTAAACTGGTTGCCACTACATGTTGAAACTTCCTGGATTTTTCAAACATGGTTCCAAATGGTTTTTTATGCAGATAATGGATATAGTATTATTCAAAGCTCTTTAAAAAAATGATTCGATATTTTTTCTATATTTTATGTAGGAAAATTTAAAGTTTTTTAGTTTTAAAGAGTAGAGGACAAGGTTTTTTGGATGTGCAAGCTGCTCTCCTTTAAGAATAAAGTAAAATACAAGTTACCAGGGCTGATTAAATTAAGTTGAGAGTCGTTTACTTTCGTCAATGTTGATAGAGCTGATAATAAATTGCTGAAAATTCTTTGATTTTACAAAAATGAGCTCATTCTTTACCATATAGCAGGTCTGAAACGTGTTTTAGACATTAGCTGATTAAGCTTTTGTAATGAAGCATAAAATATTGTTTAGTTTCTTGACGTTGCATCGGTATTCTCTAAATCAGAAAGATTTCAGGTCAATTCAGATAGATTAGTAAAGCTGTTGACAATTCTTGAAAAGAACATTCGTGATGTTATTACTGTCGATGGAGCTCAACCATTGGTACCTTTTTTTGACGAGGTGAATAACGAGTTTTTTTTAAAATTTTTTTGAGTTTATTAGCTCTAGGTTTTTTACTTCCAATTGGCTTTCTGTTGTTTCTCTATTGCAAAATTTTCTTTGGTGAGGTAGGGCTTTTGCAAGAAGAAGAGGGATAATTATTAGAGTTCTACGAAAATGAACTTGGTTATGCTTTTAAAGTGTTGGAGATTGTTGTTTGTGGATTTTTGTCTGCTTTTAATGAGGAAGGGATTTTAAAACAAATTTTTTTCGTTTAGAATTGGGGCTGTGAGAAGAACATTTTTCATTGGGATTGATTTCTTGAAAAGCGTCAGAAGTCAGTGACACGAAGTTTAACTGCCTCGTTTGCACTTTGAATCATTAATTGAGGAGGTGTAGAGAAGTAAATTACAAATTACTTAGAATAATTAGAATTATTGAAAGCTTGATCATTTTGGACAGTGCTTACTGTTTGCTATGGCTGTTTTTGATGGCTGTTTGAAACACTTACTTTTTTACGTTTTGTTTTTAGTACTGTTCTTGAGTAAAATTTATTGTTAGAACATTGATATTTTTTTAATTACGCGTTTTGGAAATCTAAATTTTCAGCAAGCAACAATCTGTAGGATCACTTTTCAAAAAACTAATATTCTGGTATTATTATCACTAGCAACTTTGTGGCGATCTAAGTTTCGCAAGATTTGCAAAATTTTTGATAATGTTTTTAATTTTTTTTATGGTCTTCCATCTTTTAAGGGAGATGAAGATGAGTCAGATGTGACATACCGTGAGCTGGTTGATGACAGAATACTGAGGGCTTTGGATGCGTCTTGTACAGCGATGGTTATTATGACTTCACCGAAAATGCCAAAACAAGTAACTGCTTTTTCTTCATAATAATAATTTTTTGTTTTGAACATTTTTTTCATTCAAATATGATTTTTTCGTTCAGGTATTGATTGAAGATACGATTGAGCGATCCATACAACTCTGCAAACAATTTCTTATCAGTATTATATACTCAGCCTCCGATGCAGTTAGCAAGTCTCCAACAAAGTCGAAAAAATTTGGTGATTGAATTTTAAGCTTTAGTTGCTAGTCTCTTTTTAAACGCTAGCGTCTCTTAATATACTCTTATACTTATTACTAAATGCTATCAAGTATATTTGTAGAGAACTGTAGTTTTTTAGAAGACAAGAAAAGGAAAAAGTTGTGGAACTTTGCCCGGTCACATACAGTTGAGAGAGTGTACGCGAGGGTAACTGAGCTTGTTGGGCTTTTCGGTGAATTGGTAATATTGTCTTGTGTTTCATTAAAAGCGCTATATTATTATTGTTTTTACAGGTCAGTGTATATCACAAGCAATTTAGGTTCGGTCTGAGTCGCTTACTGACACTGCTCTCCTTCAGCTTTGCAGCATTGCTACAGGTCCTTTTTTTGTGGATAACGTTAGTGAGCTTCAGACACAGGCTATCACGCTGTTATCTGCGATTTTCTCTCGCTATACCGAGTTCAGGAAGGGAATTTTACAAGTAAAGTTTGGGTTAGTTTGAACTCGTTCTATTTTTTTAAACTATTTTCACAAATATTTTTTAAGGATCTACTGAACTCTTTACATCGACTTCCACCTGTGAGGAATAACAGGAACAGTTACCGATTATCAGCTACAGATTTTATCAGTAATTTCACCGTTTTAATGATGCAGTTAGTTCAATGCACTGTAAAGGTAAGCTTTTAAAAAGAGAAGGGTGTAGTACAGTATTTTTGTGTTGCCTATTCTAATTCAGATTCCAAAACGTCGACGCAGCGAGGAAACACAAACAGGTTCTGTCGACGAAACTGAAGGTAACCCCGATACAGTAGTGAAGAATTCGTTCAATGAGTCTCAGAAAGTGGCTACTATGTTTCTGAATGGCTTTCTTCAAAAGTTCGTTTATTTTTTGATTCGTTTGCTTATTTGGTTTTTCTAGACCAAAAGAACTACTTTTTTTTGCTAGAGGCTTTTTATAATGGATGGTTCTGTATTTCTCTTTTCAAAGGTGTACTGCTAAAGCTGAGGAAGACTATAGGCGCCTTTTCGACCAATTCTTACACGACTTGTTATCTGCTCTATATACACCTGAGTGGCCAGCCGCTGAGATGATGCTTTGTATACTCGGAAATCTTCTCGTTACTTTTTATCGTTCAAAAACTATGGATATGTCTCTAAGAATAGCTAGGTCTACTTTGTTTGAAACTTTACTTTGCATCTATCAGCCTTTATGTCAGTATATTATTGTCTTTTCAGAATATTTTCTAAATTTGCAACTTCGTCTTTATCATAATATAAGAGAGGTATTATTGAAGGTTTTTAGATGCTGCTTTTTGAGGAGGTTTATATCAGTAAAAAATGCTTTTTGTGCTGTATTTTATATTTCAGTTTCTTGAAAAAAATTTTGTTTTTGATAATTAAGACTTCGATTGAATAGTGGGTTTCCACTTGCTAAAGCTTATTCTTTTGATAATGATTGAAATTCCCACTCAGAATGCAAGATGACACGTTGAATTTATTGGTTTAGCCTGGACTACCTCGGGACGATAACAGCGCGTTTAAGGAGAGATGTTAGACAGGCATGTTCAGATGAAGTAAGACTGGATATGGTTGTCAAAACTATACTTTTTGATGAACTAGATGAAGCGGACCAAAACCGCGATGTCAATGATATTGACACTAGTGAGGTTGGTCATCATTTTCTTCTTGTTTTTATAATTAGAAATCATGCTATTTAGTTTTATGTCTGAGTTTCTTTAATGGATGCTCGTTTAGCTAAGTACAACCGACAAAATGCTAAAGGTGCAACGGGCATTAATTGATTATCTTGTGGAGAAAAAAGGAGATTCAGACGTTTCTGTTGAAGTTAGTTTATCTTTTTGTCTTTAACTTACTTTTCTTTCCAATGGGAATTTATCTTCAAATTTATGATCTTTACAAAATGCAGCATAATTGAAATTTAGTATGCGGTGATGTTTTACGTTGGTGTTTGGTACCGTGATTGCTGTTTGGAGGCGGAGTCTGCTAAGCAAAAATTAAAGCAAGCCTTGACTAGTTCAGAGCTAAACGATAAGGAAAAAAGGAAGTGGGAGAAGAAAACAGAAAAGGTCTGTTAACTTTTTTTCGCCTTAGGAGCTCGAGCTCCAAATGAGTTTGCTTCACTCTCACTGGGTGGCTAGTTTACTAGCAATCTGAAACCAGGTTTACTTTTTGAGGAAATTCTTTTGTTATCTGCAATGAAGTTGCGAGGGTCATTTGTATCTGAATCGGTTCTCGTGTAATTCATATGAAATTTTGGTTGTTCTTTCAAATTTTGATTTTTATAGTTGTTGGAACGATGTCAGCTTATGAAAGATTATAATCTGAAAACAGCTGATAAAAAGCAGATTAGAAAACGTGCTGAACAGATCGCGTAGGTTTCTTTAGATTTTTTTCAAAGTGAAGTTTCAAAGTTTTTTTCAATTTTTTTCAAAGTTATCGAATTTTTACTAACTCAGCTTTTATTTCATCAATAATGACGTGAGAAATGCTACGAAGTGTAACAAATCAAAACATAGTTTTCTTACGCCACAAATAAGACTTATTTTGTTTTTCAGAAGAACAGGTAACATACTCATTAATAGTGACGCACTTTGGCTTGTCAAGTTCTTAGCTTCAGGAAGGGAATTGAGTCAGTCTTTCCACGCTTATCTGAAGCAGGTTTGTGATTTTTAAGTACTTTTGAAACATCTGTTACATTCAGTTATAGTCTTCCATTTATTTTTAGTGCAGAAGCTACTTCATTTTCGTGTTTGAGTGGTAATCTTTACTGTTCAACTGAATACTTTTTTTTTTTCTTTTTTTTTTTTGTAAAAGCAAAAGAATTTTTGATCCGCATTGGCTTTCAAGAACCATGTTAAAAAAGGTTTTGGAAGACATATAGAATTTTGTACTGCACTGCTTTCTGCATGCGAATTTTATTGTTGAAGAACTGTAGCTCAAGCAGTAAGAAAAGTTTGTTTGTTTTCGAAGAGAATTGCCCTTCACTGCTTATTGTTTCTGATTAATTCCAGGTTTATAAACTAGATTTGAAAAGTAGGCGAATAGAAGTTAAATTGAGACAGTAAATCTTGAGAAAGAAAAATTAAAAATTTCTGTAGAAAAAATTTAAAGGACAAAGTATGGGAGTTTCTTAAGCAAAATTATGATTACTTTCTAGCAACTTTGAAAAACGGAACATATAAATGTTGCTTATCTCGGTGGAATTCACTTCCACCTGTCATTTTCGTACCTATAGAAAGATTTTTGAGACCTCCTTTGGGCGAATTATCCTTATAGCTTTTTTTCTAATTACTCTTTTTCTTCCATTAATGTTTAATTCGTTTGGAACAGAAAGCTTCTGATTAGGTTGAAAGCTCAGATACTTCTTATATATCACAGCATAATTTTATATACCACACTGAGATTCAAAATTTTTCATAACAGATTTCCAAAGTTTACTGCGGCTGACAAAACTTTTGTGAACTTGCCGGTTTTAAAAATGAAGCTGATCTAGGTAGAGTATTAAAAGAAATTTTGCATGGATGTAAAGTTACTGTTTGAAATATTCTTTATTTCACTCTTCAGATACTTTACGGTATTCACGTAGAACAGGCGGTAGGGTTGCGAACTAAGGCTATGAGGTGTTTGACGCAGATCATAGAAGCTGATCATGAGGTTCTTGGAATGGTATCTCTTACTGTTTTTTTTTTCTTATCATTTCTTTCAAACTTAATATTTCGTTCTATGCAAAATTACAGGGTTGATTCACGCTTTTATTTTTCATCTTTCTTCTGCTTTTTTCCTTGTGTAATCTTTGTAAATTAATTCCGAACTTTTTGTTCATAATCTGTTGCTAGTGTCTTCTTTCGTCTCCAACTATTCATTTAATTTTTTTTCACTTTTTATTTTCGAGTATGTTTAGCCTGAAGTGCAAAGTGCAGTCCAGGCGCGAATGAGAGATGCAAATGCGGCTGTACGTGAAGCAACAATTGAGTTAGTTGGGAAATATGTTATTTTGAACCCGGAATTCATACCTCAGTACTACCCGATTTTGATTGAACGAATCAAAGTAGGGATTTAGTTTTTCGTTTTTGCTCTCAACTTATCTGTTCTTTCCTTGCTGATCTTTGGCACTACTGTTTTTGATTCTCTTTTCAATGTGTTATGCTGTCGACCAGTCTAGCTAACATTCTTCTCTTCCGTCCTCCAACGCAGAATTCAGTTGTTGATATTTTATAGGATTTGGGAGTGGCAGTTCGTAAACGCGTTATTCGGATAATGAGAGACCTTTACGAAAAGCAACCTGAATTTGAAAAAATTCCTGAAATGCTTTCAGCGGTTGTTCGCCGTATTTCCGACGAAGAAAGCGTTAAAAAACTTGCTATCGAAACGTTTCAGACTATGTGGTTCCAGCCTGTTCGTGAGCGAGATGACGTTTCTATTGTTAAGAAGGTTTATAATTATTTACACTGAAAATTTTGTAAATTCATTTTTTTTTTT